ATCATACAGGTCTTCTGGGTCAGCATACGGTCCCCTGCTTCGTCTGAGGCAGCGACGTTTCTTCCCTACCACGGATTTCAACCGTCTGCGTGTCTTTCGAAGAACAGGGTGACAGGACAGCTGGTCTGAGATGCAATGAGAAGACCCTTCCTGAACGCTGGTGTGGTCACAGGGCACCTTGCTGCTTGTCTCCTCACAAGCTTGGTTTTGCAGAGGACTTCTCGGTCTGGACAGGACAGAGTTCAGGCAAGTGTCAGCCCTGCATCTGTTCACCTCCGCATCAGCCTCCTCTGAGGCCCTGGGGAATCCCTTCTGGGTCTCACCATCACTCCACTCCCTCTCATCACAATGGCCCCTCTCTGCTCTCTCTTGTGCTGACTCCTGGCTTTGGGCTTTGTCCTCCTCTCTGCAAAGGCCACATGGGCTGCTGTGATACGTGAGGGCATTTCCCGAGCGCCAAAACCCAGCACTCATGCTCAAAATAAGAACGAGAAGAACTGTGTCTGGAACAGGCCAGGAATACATGGACACTTGGCTGACAGAGCCATGGTGAATCAGCCGGTGAAGAAGTAAAACCAGCGAACGCCTGATGGACTGGTCGGAGGAGAGGAGGTGCTGGAACTTCAGGATCCGCAGGGAGCCAGCCAGGTTTTCAAGCACTTTCTGATTGTGTGCAGCAGTGAGCTCCACCGCGCCCTGCAGCATGTTGCAGAGGGTAAGCTGGGAGACGTGCGGGGAGCTGTGGAGCAGTGGCGAAAAGTGATGGTCGTTGAGACGCCAGTCAGAGGAAACATCCAAGACACCGTGAAGAACGTTTGAGAAGAACGTTTCAAGGAACTTCTTCCTCCAACAGGTTATATTCTGCAATTAAATTACCTTAGAGTCAACCAGGGTAAACCCTATTCAACAGGACCACATTAACAAAAAGTCAGCTACAATTTTTCTCAATTATTGCTGCCTGCTGAGCTGGTAAACATGGTGTCCAAAAAAAACCTACTTCTAGCGCAACTGAGACTACCTTCCTAGTTCTCAACATCCTTCCTTATTACATCTGTTGAAAAACTGAGCTACTCATCACTACCTCTTCATCCTGCTTTTGGCCTAATTAAAACATACTCAGTGGTCTGAAACTCAGCTATGGTTTTGCCTATTAAAAACCACATCATCAGGAGTTTTCTTCCCAAGTGTCTATTTATAGGCTGTGATTAAATTGGCTGTTACCTATTCTTTTGCGATGCTGAATCAATGGAGCTGCTTCCATTTTCCTACGTAAAACCATTCTTCCAAACTCACTGTCTTCTGTAAGTATTTTTCTAGTGCTTTCTAAGACATCAGCACATTTTTTTGCCAGCGTAGGTGTGAGCATGATATAAGATACTGTTTTTATCCTGTTTCCCTATGAGTTACATCTCGAAAGAGAGGATTTATTCTCTCAGCAAACTCACTGTTATGATAACGGGAGTGGGTATACGCTACAGTTCTCTTCAGGAATCCCGTTTCCCAAAATGATTGTAATTCCAGGGTTATGCCTTGGTCCAGAGCTCCATGAACACTTATAAACAAGTGCCTGCAATCGCTCGGAGGTGGCCAGCAGCGCCGACAGGCTTCAAAATGAAACCTCGCAGAAGAAACCTGAGTTGTGCCCCTTCTTCCGCCGTCAGCGTTTCCTCACCTCCGAGTTGGGTGGCCTGGTTTTCATCACATCGTCCCACAGCTTGCGCCAGATGGGCTGCGTCGAAAGGCCTGGGAAAAAAAAAAAAATAATCAACCAGGCACTTTCACCCCTTCTCCCCATCCGAGCACCCTGCCCCGGAGCTCACAGGGGCGCTGGGCAGACGAGGGGACGCTCTGGGGGGGCAGACCCAGACCCCCACAGCAAAAAGACGGTGCTTTGGAGGGGAAGACCACCATCTTTTAAGGGATGTGGGTTCAAAAATGACATGTTTTGTTGATCCTTGAAAGGAGCTGAGTTATAGCAGGGCCCGCACCGCTGCGTGAACCCTGCCTGGGTACGGGATGGGGCTCGAGGTTTTGGATGTGGGGAGGTGGTCAGGCCACGTCTGATGGCAGGGTCCGGTGTCCCCCCCTTGGAAGAAGCGTTTGTCCCTCCTACCCGGGGCTCCCATTTCCAGCCTGGGAGGGATTCATCCCTCACACACGACTTCCTCTCTCCAGCTGGGGGTCCCTCCGGTGTGGGGCTCACTTCTCCAGGTCGGGTGCATCCCCCCAGTGCGTATGTGTGTGTGTGGGGGGGGGGGTTGTCCACCCCCGTCAGTTTTTGCGGGTCTCCTCC